ATTCTGGTGATGATATAGGATAATGAGAAACTGAATATCATATTTGCATCTTTCAATATAGCTAAAAATGTTATAAAGAGAAGTTAAGAGAGAAGAGTTTTTATTCACCAATACACTGCAATATTAAATAATAGGCTTTGAGCAACATTGAAACTTAAGGAAATTGTGAACTGTTAAATCCTACCAAATTCATTTTATATTAATGATGAGTACCTATGAAAAATATACATATCACAAAGAAATCATTTGTTATCTTGATAAGTAGGTTGGACATCTGATACCACTTTGAGATATTAACTATCTGGGAAGAAAAAAAATGCCCTCATATTTAAGGAAAGATAGCTTTTTACTTTCTTCTAAAAATGATTAATGGCAGGCAGTAAGAAAGAAAATCTTTAAGTAAATGTCTGTTGTCCATTAACAGTTCATCCCAAACTCATTATCAAAATGTCTGTCTTAAATTATGTATATGTGACTATGCAAAATCAAATTGGGAAGTAGTGCTTGGTAAAATTGTCCTTCTGTTTCCATGGAAACAGATGCTGGGTTGCATCTCTTTAAGGCTGGTTTCAAAGTGGAAAACTACAGCACAATAATATCCCAAAAAGTTTAAAATTTAACATATCTCACAGATTTTTTTTGAATTTATCAGGGGTTTTAAAGCAGCAGTTTATAGCATGACTCTATACTTCACGTAGGGTATCTTTAATTTCTCTGATTTTTTTTTTTTTTTTTGGATTGATTTATTTATTTGAGAGAGAGCATGGGGGCTGTGGGGAGGGGTGGAGGGAAAGGGAGAGAGAATCTCAAGCAGACTTCCTGCTGAGTGTGGAGCCCAGCCCAGGGCTTGATCCCAGGACCTCAAGACCATGACCTGGGCCAAAATCAAGAGTTGGACACTTAACTGACTAAGGGACCCAGACTCCCCTATTTCTCTGAATTTCTTAACTATTTGTTTCTTTTTTGCCATCTCTCCTGCCCCCATTTCAGTAGAACGGCTTAAGAGTAAAGGGCTTCGTCATTGGACTTTTTATCCTTAGCATGTAACATATAGGCTCCAACTCCACCTCTTATTTAACGAAAGCATTCTGAATAAATAAACTATAATAATACAACCTATTTTGTCCTTCTAACTTAAAGAAAAAATGAGCATTAGTGTCAGACTAACATTTATTTTAATCCTGACTTTAATAGTGAGCTCAATGACCCACAGATAAATCACATAAACTTTCTACATGTCAGTTCCATTTTCAGTTGGGATCCTAACAAAACTGAAGTCATGGATTTGAGATTTTTGTTTTATTTTTGGAGTTGAGATTTTTAAATAATATAATTGTTATAAAGCATCTAGCATAATGTTTGACTTAATAAGGAAACAGTAAATGGTAGCTATAATAATACAATAACTATTACTATTGCTGCTACTACTTCTTGCCAGACATTGTGCTAAGTACTCTAGGTCTTCAGTCATCACTATATCCCTTTCTGATTATCTCCACACTGCCGACGGGGGCCATACAGGATACCTAGAGCCACTCCAGAGCTAGACTGTGAGGTCAGGATTTAAACCTTCCTCTGCCTGCCTCTAAGGCCTGTTTTGTGTGTGTGTGTTTCGTTTTGTTTTGTTTTGTTTAATACAAGCTGCCTCTTCTTGGATATGTTTTAAAAACCCAGAAAGGTACAGTCTCTTTCTTTCAAACTATTTCTGTACATTAAAATATGGCCACCCGATCCATCACAGAAGACAGCTAATTCAAAATCTGTAGGTTGTACAAAGGAATTTGCCCACACTCTATTTTTCCTTTTTCAGGAAGTCAGTTAATTAGGTTTCCTTGATGTAGTACAGGAAACCATAAAATTGGATTTTTAACACAGAAGTAAACATCTAGATTGTTTTAGAGTCCTTCTCAGGAGTCACTCTGGTGGCCCCAGAAAATTTCTCGAAAGTCCTCCTTACTCATATCTGTTTCGTTATAGGCCCTGGTTATACCTCCTTTTAGAAAAAGTAATCAGTGTTCATTCATCAGCTGAGTCCCCTGACTGCAGCAGGAGCAACACTCTATGACAGGAACAGAAACATGCTCTTCTTCTTACAGTACAAGTCAGGTTCACAATTGTTGAAACAAACTTTTCAGTAAAGAAATCAAAGTATTAGATATTGGGGATCTTTAGAAGCACTATATCATAATAACCAGCATGTAAACAGTGTTCTAGCTTAAAAAGCACTCATGTGGGCCATGTGGGTGGCTCAGTTGTTAAGCATCTGCCTTTGGCTCAGGTCATGATCCCAGGGTCCTGGGATCGAGTCCCATATCGGGCTCTCTGCTCTGCAGGAAGCCTGCTTCTCCCTCTGCCACTCCCCCTGCTTGTGTTCTCTCTCTTGCAGTCTCTCTCTCTCCATCAAATAAATAAATAAAATCTTAAAAAAAAAAAATAAATAAAAAGCACTCATGTAATGTATGTATTGAATATAAATCCCTGTAACATTAGTGCTTACATAGAATGTTACATTATTTGAAAACAGTGGCAACAATCCTCGCCCTTAATAAAAGCAAAGCAAAACAAAACAAAACACCCTGAGGCACAGGACTATTAAGTAACTAGAGTCACACTTAGAAAGTTGTACAGGGGTGCCCGGGTGGCTCGGTCAGTTAAGCAACCAACTTGATTTTGGCTCAGGTCATGATCTCAGGGTCTTTGTATCAAACCCTGAGATGGGCTTTGGGCTCAGTGGGGAATCTGCTTCTTTCTCTCCCACTCCCTTTCCTCCCTCTTTTTTTTTTTTTTTTTTAAAGATTTATTTATTTATTTGACAGAGAGAGAGAGAGAAAGATGCTCCTTTCCCTTTCTTTCTGTCCCTCCCCCCCATGCTATTTTTCCCCAAAATTAAAAAAAAAAAATCTTAAAAAAAGGTCATACATTCACTGTTATTACACGTAAATCCTTGCACTACATTATTCAGATTAAGGTTAAATAGATGAAAACTGAAAGATTCTATAAAAAGATGTTACGTGGCTAACGAGATTTGATGACTAGACCAGGGATGTGGACACAGAAAAACAGCCTTTAGGGGTGTCTGGGTGGCTCAGTTGTTAAGTGCCTGCCTTCAGCTCAGGTCAGGATCCCAGGGTCCTGAGATCAAGCTTCACATCAGGCTCCCTGCTCAGTGGGGAGCCTGCTTCTCCCTCTCCCACTCCCCCTGCTCCCCTCTCTTGCTAGCTCTCCCTCTGTCAAATAAATAAAATCTTAAAAAAAAGAAAAAGAAATGGAATACAATGCAGCCATCAAAAGAAATGAAATCTTGCCATTTGCGACAACATGGATGGAACTAGAGGGTATTATGCTTAGTGAAATAAGTCAATCCGAAAAAGACAACTATCGTACAATCTCCCTGATATGAGGAAGTGGAGATGCAACTTGGGGGGTTGGGGGGTAGGAAAAGAATAAATGAAACAAGATGGGATTGGGAGGGAGACAAACTGTAAGAGACTCCTAATCTCGCAGAACAAACTGAGGGTTGCTGGGGGGAGGGGGTCGGGAGAGGGTGGTGGGGTTATGGACATTGGTGGGGGTGTGTGCTGTGATGAGTGCTGTGAAGTGTGTAAACCTGATGATTCACAGACCTGTACCCCTGGGGCTAAAAATACACTATGTGTTTACAAAAAAATTAAAAAATTAAAAACATGAAAACCAATTGTGTTAGGGGTCCACTCAGTCTCAGTATTTTTTGCTTCAATTATTTTCCAATTAATCATAAATAATGTTTATGGATTAAAGTGACAGAATGGATAAAGTTACAGATTGTTATTTTTGGCAAATGAACCGAAAAAATATTAGACATTTTCACACATGTTCAGATATTCTACTAGTATGACCTAAGAAAATAGCAGTTTCAACCTAAAGACATACTTTATTAATAATTATTTTCCAAGTGCATTGTATCATTTCTGTCAAGATGCTTTAATTACAACCAATATTAAATTAGTTTTGATTCCCTAAGCTGATCCTTATTAAGTGAGAAATTATAATTTGAGACATATAATTCATAAAGGAACAGTTCTTATTTTGAGCAACTGAATATATATTATGAATATGTTTATATAATCATAATGAAGCCAACTATGTATTTTTACAGATAGTAGATATTTTGGAAAACATTTTAAGGAGGGCACATGGTGTAGTGAGCCCTGGGTATTATACAGTAAGACTGATGAATCACTGACCTCTACCTCTGAAAACAATAATACACTATATGTTAATCAACTGAATTTAAATTAAAAAAAAATTTAAATAGGCATTTTGGAAAACAATGGTAGAGGATCAATGGTTTTCAGTGGGCCTATAAAGTCAACAGAATTATACAGTAACACTAAGAAATTACTTGCAGTTTGCACTTTCACTTCCCATGAAGTACAACGGAGGCTACCTGGTTTGTGATATTACAGTAGACTAAATACCAAAACAGACTCCAGTTAACTTCTATCAGGCCAGACAGTAATGTAATTTACAAAAATATGACTGATGCTAATCTTACTATTTGATTTTGTTTTGGAAAATATATTTATTTTTAAAAATGCATTGCTTAAATTAACATGTAATGGAGAACATTATTTTTAATAAATTAATGGGTTTTACAGTTCTCAGGTTTAGGTTCAATACATTAAGTATGAATAGTTTTAACCCACCTAAAGCAAAGCTCTTGGGGTTCACAGTAAATTTTAAGAGAGTAAGGTCCATATGACAAAATGTTTCTGAACTGTTGGTAAAGAAACAAGAAAATACTATTTAGTATTAAACTATCCCCTTACTTTTGCAAATCCCAATGATAAAGACCTTTATTGGTCCTTGAGACCATAAATGACTTGAGAAGTTATTTAAAACAGATCCATTTAAAAACCCTGAAAGCATTTTATTCACAACATAAAAAAAAATTGAGCTCCTTCAGAATTGCTCCATTTGCAAAATATATTTATAACTTAACCAAAATAAATAATTCATACCTCACCAAGTGAGTAATAACGTCTCGGGATCTGGGAGTCCGGATAGATGTTTTCAAGGTACCAAGAAAAGGGCTTACACTTCAGGTTTTCTCTTAGTGTTTTTCTGACTGACACATCTCCATAATCCACTTTGACAACACCTGGAATTTTTCAGAGAAACACACAAATCAGTTTGTGCTATTTTCAATTTAGTATGGGTTTCCTCTGTTTACTTTGCTGTCAGTTTTCTTCCCCTCTGTAATTACAATTCCATCAAATTCAATTGCATATGCAGCTGCTACTACACTGATTTTCTTACTAGCAACCAATTAGTACATGAAATAGATAGAAAAAACAGCTTTTCCTTTGGTTATGACTTTCAAGTGCAAATATTTATCACCAAACACTTACACTTCTTATATGGAATAATTAAGTAAGTGTAAATTGGTATTAATTTAGTATCTCATAATCAAAGCTTAACTGAGCTGTGCAATAATACAGCCGTCTCTCTTTAATAAAAATTCCAATCCTCGTATTTTCCGAGTGTCTTTTATTCACCAGCGTAGATTTCATGATAAATTTATATAAATATGATCCTCACAATGAACACTTATGTGCTCTAACTTTATCTCTTCTTCTTGAACTTTTATTCTATCTAGGTTTACCACAGACCTGATTTTTTCTTTTTCTGTATTATTTTATGAGTTAAATGTGAGCCACCTCAAATTCTTAGATAAGTAAGTTAGTAAATAAATAAGCTCAAATAAAGAAATGGCTTATACTCACATGTGTACATTAAAACTACTTAAGTTCAATTCATGTAATAGCAGAATATATGAAATTAAAAGGAGTATTTTCATTGATGATCATAAAATGATGCTTTTTAGTTGAGAATTAAAAACAGCAATGCTACTAATTTCTATACCATGGTGATGTGATTTGCTCATTACTATCAATATTAAAAATGATTTGACTGAAATGACTAAATAACTGTGAGAAGATTGCTTTTCTTAAATTATTTTTGACAAAGTCTGTGTTTCACATGTTTCTTTAAGATGAGTAAGCAACCAGAGTTGGGCATAGGAAAAAAAAAATGCCCAGTATTTGGCACATTCTATCTCAGCCAAACAGCACAACCTAACAACCATTCTATAAAACAATGAATGATTGCTTGGGCAATGCAACGTCTGTAACTAATGCCATTATTTTAGTCACTCTATTCAAATGCGGTGACACTCTTCAAAGCCCATCACCTCTTAGTTTCCCCTTTCCCCCACTGTTCCTTAAAAATTCTTAATTTTTGTTTTTCTAAAATTAAATGCCTTAGTGTTGTTACAAAGCACTCTGACGATGCTTAAACAGCCAAGCCATTTCCTTCTAAAAGACAATATTGATATTTTTAGCTCGTGTTTGGACAGAACACAACAAGGTCTTTGGGCTTTTTAAACACATAAATATTTGCTTTCAAAATAATCTTATTCAGAACTTGCAACCTGGAATGCAACCTTCAAAAGAAGAAGCTGGAAAACATTTACAAAGAGATCACTACACGAATTTCTTTCTATTAAGGGCTGTATCAACAGCAGTGATCTAATACATAGTCTTGAAAATCATTTAAAGAGATTCCACTGGACCCAGGGAAAAGAGAAAAAGAAGGGCACTGTAGTTTCAGAGGACTTCATTCAACAATCAGTTTTACTTTTCTGTTCTGTTTCATTTTTGAGGTAGGCAAATTTAATTGAGGTATCTTACTTATATATTAGTATATTTCCTTTTTCATCATTAAAAGGCAATAGTCCTGGCTCCAGAATTTTTTCTCAGGAGGCTTTTATGTGCAGTTTTCTGATTGGAAGGGAGTTTGAAGATTCATTTGCATCTATTTCACATTAAGTAAGAGAAAATATTAATTGCCCATATCAGATTTGGCAAAGATTTGGTTGGTTTAAAATGGTAGTTAGTATTGATAAAAGCTAAAACCGTCTCACCCTAAGACTCCTAAGCTACCCCATGGCATTGCTACTACAACATGAGTTTTGTCTTAGTCCTAGATAATTACTTTAATTACTGTTAGAAAAGCACAAAAATACTGTGGGCTTATCTTAATATTTTGGTGAGGATGGTTTTTTTCCCTCTGTAGTTCTATTTTCCTGCTTAGAAGTAAGATACTATGAGGGTTAGTATCTAAAATATATAAAGAACTCATAAGACTCAACACTCAAAAATTAAGGCAGAAGGCATGAACAGACATTTCCCAAAGAAGATATACAGATAGCCAACAGATACATAAAAAGTTGTTCATTGTCATTTATCATCAGGGAAATGCAAATCAAAACTACCTCTCAGAATGGTGAAAATCAAAAACACAAGAAACAAGTGTTGGCGAGGATGTGGAGAAAAAGGAACCCTTGTTGCTGGGAATGCAAACGGATGTAGCCACTGTGGAAAACAGTATAGTGTTTCCTTAAAAAGTTAAAAATAGAACTACCGTATGATCTAGTAATCACACTACTGTGTATTCACCCAAAGAATATGAAAATACTAATTCAAGGGGTACATGCACCCCTATGTTTACTGCAGCATTATTTATAACAGCCAAATTATGGAAGCAGCCCACTGTCCATTGATAGATGAGTAGATAAAGATATGGTGTGTGTGTGTGTGTGTGTGTGTGTGTGTGTGTGTGTGTGTGAGATCAGTGAAATATTATTCAACCACAAAAAAGAATGTAATCTTGCTATTTGCAATGACTTGGATGGAGCTAGAGAGTATGAAGCTAAGCAAAATAAGTCAGGGAAAGACAAATACGATATGATTTCACTCATATGTGTAATTTAAGAAACAAATGAGCAAAGAAAAAAAGCGAGAGAGACAAACCAAGAAACAGACTCTTAACTGTTCAGAGAACACACTGATCATTTGCCAGAGGTGAGGTTAATTGGGGATGGGTGAAATAGGTGATGGGGAGTAAGGAGTGCACTTGTTGTGACGGGCAGTGGGTAATGTATGGAATTGCTGAACCACTATATCATACACCTGAAACTAATGTAACACTGTATGTTAACTATACTGGAATTAAAATAAAACTAAAAAAAATTTAAAATAAAAACAACTATTAGTTGGGCCCTAAAAAAACAAGTGAGACATTATGGGAGAGACAGCAGTAGTCACCCAACATTCATATATTTCTCCACATATCTCAGCCCCTTCAGTTAGGCAAGGGCATTGACTGCCACTGGCCATTAAACTATAGGGGAAAGGTACAAATGTCTCCTGATTTTTTTTTTTAAAGATTTCATTTTTAAGTAATCTCTACACCCAACGTAGGGCTTGAACCTACAACCCTGAGATCAGAGTTGCATGATCTACCAACTGAACCAGCCAGGTGCCCCCTAAGTTCTCTACATCTCATTATATTTTTTTTTCAAGTTTTTATTTAAATTCTAGTTAGTTAACATATAGTGTACTACTGGTTTCAGGAGTAGAATTTAGTGATTCATCACTTACATATAACAATCAGTTTGTTCTCTATAATTAAGAGTCTGTTTCTTGGTTTGTCTTTGTCTCTTTTTTTTTTTTTTCCTTTGCTCATTTGTTCTGTTTCTTAAATGCCACATAAGAGTGAAATCATATGGTATTTATCTTTCAGTGACTGACTTATTTTTCTCAGCATTATACTCTCCAGCTCCATCCAAGTCATTGTAAATGGCAAGATTTCATTCTTTTTTTATGGCTGAGTAATATTTGTGGATGCATACCACTTCTTCTTCATCCATTTATCAGTCAATGAACAGCTGGCCCCTTTCCATAGCTTGCTTATTGGTGATAATGCTGCTATAAACATCAGGGTGCATGTGTCCCTTCAAATCAGTATTTTTGTATCCTTTGGGCAAATATCTAGTAGTCTTGTCTTAAAGATGGAAACCAGGTATGAAGACCAGGGAAGACCCTCTAGCTCTTTTTTCCCTTTACTCCAGGGACTGAGGAAGCCTTGTACCACAGCAGGCATGGCTTCAAGATGGTGAGGCCTTTGTTAGCCTGTGTCACTGAAAGACTGTGAAGTAGAGCCTGAATTATTCAGTTCCATGGCTTGAAATACACTCTCACATGTTTCCCAAACTCTTATCTGCAACCTAAGCCTTTCCAAAATAATTACTCAATTATTGACCCAACAATTTCCCTGGAGTCTTAAACAGGCATCTCAAATTTGATATGTCTCCAACAGTCCTCTTGATTTTTCAACTTCACCATCTCCAAGATTCTCCGTTTCAGCAACCACCACAAATACCCACCCATTTTCTCAGGGAAACAATATAAAAGTAATTATCTTTAACTCATACTCCCATATTCAGCTCATTAGCAAGTCCTATTTGTTCTACATTCACAATATATCCTCAGTCCATCAAACATCTCCTTTGCCATCCTGGGTGCATAATCCCTCCTCTCTTGACTAAACCAGCATTGTAATAGGCTTCTAACTAGAGCCCCTGACATCTTACATTTCTCCATCTATCCTTTATTCACTACTGCCTGCTCCCTGGACAACATATTTGAAATAAAAAGAAAGTCATGTCACTACCCTGCTCCAAAGCTTCTAATGAATTTTTCATTGTGCTACGAATAATTGACAATATCCTAACTTTTGCCTAAGATCCTTCATGACATGGTTCTTGATTATATCTATGATCTAACCATCTGTATTTACTTTACTGTGGCCACACTGGCTTTTTTGTTTTTTTCCTTTGTTGTTGTTGTTTTTTAATGATTTATTTATTTGAGAGAGAGAGAGAGTGCATGTGTGCATGGAGAGATGGGCAGAGGGAGAGAATCTTCAAGCAGACTCCTCACTGAGCACAGAGCCCAAAGTGGGGCTCAATCCCATGACCCATGAGATCATGACCTGAGCTGAAACCGAGTTAGACACTTACATGACTTAAATGAGCCACCCAACTCCCTTTTTCTTTGCTTTTCTTCAAACATGCCAAGTTCATTCCTTACTCATGGCTTTGTACTTGTCCTTTTTCCTGTCTAGAGTGGTATTAACCAGAAACTTCCATGAGCTGTCCGTTACTGCATTCAAGCATCTGCTAAGAATTCATTTCCTCAGATTCACCCTGACCTTCCTATCTAAATCAATCCCTTGTTCCCATCATTCTGGGTCACT